CCCTGCTCCTCTGTCCCAGGTAGTGGCCACATCCCGCTTCCTGTCCCCCCTCCACTGCAGTCTGGAACCACCACCGCGGGGCTTCCCTTTCCTCTTGCCCCCCTCAGTCTCCCCTTGTCGCAGTCACAAGAGGATCCTCTGCTCCCAAACAACTTTCTGTCCTTCCCAGTCTGTAGTGGCTTACTCCCAGCCGGCTCCCCTTGGAGAGGCCCCTCTTCTTGGTCAGGGACTTGGCACCCTAGCTGGGACTGGCCAGGGTGTTGGGGGGGGGCAAAGAGGGGTGCTGCTCCTGTGAGCCACCTGGGCCCTGGCACTTTTGAGTGCTGTCTGACTTCCCTGTGTCTCTGCTCAGCCTCCCATTCACACTCAGCTCCGGGTGGCAGCAGGGGCTTCCTGCCTGTCCTGCTGGCCAGGAGGGTCAGCTCATGGGCAGCTGCTCCAGGCCTGGCTCTGGGCACCCGGAGAGAAAAAGAACGAGGAGAGGAGTAGGCTTGAAAACTCTGACACTTCGGGCCCCCTCCTCCCTCTCCCCAGGTTCCTACAACTTTTAAAAACACTGACCCCTCTTGGATGTAAAGAGTGAATTTTGGCAGCTCCGAGCTCTGTCTGGGGGGACGGCCTGGCCCAGCCAGGAACATGAGAGGCCCGCAGATATCAGTTGAAAGGCTGGGCCTGGCACTGGGACGCTTGGAAGTGCCCGAGAGAGACCTCCGGCCCCTGGAAAATGTGCGGCTCTTAGTCCCTACTTGCTATGGCTAAAAAGGGCTTTCTGATCTTGGGGTGTCCTGGGTTTGGGTCCCCTGGCCTGTCCACCAAGCTGCACCGACCGCACGAGCGTCCTGCTGACTGGCTGTCCCTCTGCCAGACTGAGTTTCCACCTGTGCGTGAGTTGGCCTGTCTGTTCATCTCTCCGCCGAATTGTCCAACAGTCCCACTTGTCCGTTTAAAGGTCTCTTGGCCTGTCCAGCTCTCCGTGCCTGTCTGCCGTCTGTCTGTCCTCCTGTCATTTTGTCCATCTCACTCTTGCCTGTCTTTGATGTATTTTCCTGTCAGTCCTGGTGCCTGCTTGCCTGCTGGTGCTAACCGGCCCAAAGAATTTCAGAGGTGAAGGGGAGGAAAATGCTGGTGAAGAAGCCCACTGGCCACAGGGACGTTAGAGGAAGAAAGTTCCCTAGCCTTGAAGCTTGGGGGGGGGGGGTTTGGGGAGGGGGCGCAGCCTTGATTGTGTTCGGGGCCCTGATGTGCTGGGCCGGAGTTGAAGTCATTCAGGACGTGAGGTCAGACTTAGGGTCAGGCCAGCCCTCGGTGCCCACGGGAGGGCAGTGGGGACATTTTCCCTGCAGAGAAGATGGTTGTGTAGTGAAGGTTCTGGGATGGTGGACGTAGGGGTGGGGGCCAGGGGACTGCTAGTTACGAGTGGCTGTGGTGGGCACATGAGGCTCACGCTGCAGCCGTGGGCGCCCACAGAGGGCAAGCCTGCACAGAAAGCAGCTGCGGCGTGACTCAGGCGTGACTGGCCCTGGAGAGGCCAACAGGGCTTAGCCCCCAGGGTGTCTCTAGTCCTCAGGCTGGCTCCAAGCCCCCACAAGGGCCACTGGAGGTGAAGAACCTCCTTCGTGCTCCCTGGCCAGTCACTGTCTTCACCTCCTCTGGAAGGGCCTCTCCTTCCTCTTCAGGAGCTAAATCCGCTGGCACCTTTGCCCCACATCCTGCCCTTTCTGGGTGCCAGGAATGCCCTGGCCAGGGGCATGCTTGTTCTGACCACTTGTCCCCAGGAGCCCAGGGCTGAAACATCTCTTGTAAGCTCTGTGGGAGGAAGTGTGGCATGAAAGTGTCCAGACATTTAGGGATCCCAGGGAGTTGGCCCTACACTTCAGAGATCAAGGGGAGCTGAGGGGCAGGAGCCCCACCTCTCGTGTGCTGTGTGATCTTGGGTTGATCCCTGGGCCTCTCTGCGCTTTTGGATCTTTCTGCTGCTGTCAAGGCAGGTGGAAACCCCCAGCTCATGGACCTCCTCTTGGATTAGGTACTGGGTGGGAAAGAGTTTGGTGAGCTGCAAGGGCATGTCTGAACACTTGAGGGGTGTTATTGGGGCTGGGGAAGGGGCCGCTTGGGAACCCTCTTTTCCTGGAGGTGCTCCAGCTGTGGGGTTTCTTGGTCACTCACTGCAGGGCCGTGGACAGTGTTTTCTGTTGCTCTTCTAGCCCTACTGACGCACTTTTGGTCAAATCCTTTCTCCCACCTTGATGTCCTCAGCAGAGCCAAATGAGGAGAGTCCACTATGCACAGATAGCTAAGACAACCCACTTGTCCAAGGTGCAAGTCCGGGTAGGGGTCTCCCAGTAAGAGCTGGGAGAGAAGGGCTCAGGAAGGAAAGAATTAAGGTGAGCGCCGTTCAGCCCCTCCCCGGGCACCCCCACACCTGCCAGCAGGCTGCTCTGGGCCCCCCGCAGAGCCTGCACCCTTCCTGATGCCAGGCTGGGGGAGCTGGCCCAGAGGACAAACCTGTACCCCTGCCTCTCTCCTGCGGGCATCTGGCCCTGGGGGAGCGTGGGGGCTGCTGAAGCCTGTCTTCTCTCTGAGACCCAGAGCAAAGGTCGCTGGTCTCTCCTTGAGCGGTCCCTGTGCCTTTTAGGCCCTTGGTTGTGATGTCAGGCCCCTGGCCCCTCCCTGCACCCTAGTCTGATGTAAGCCCTCACCCCTTCTGCCCTGTGCTTGGAATTTTGAGAAACTCCACATCGCTGCCCGTCTTCTTTGTGAGCTTCCCGCAGGAGTGCTCACCTCCTTGCCTCACCCATCAAGGCCACCTTGGGCTCTTTTAAAGCCCAAGGATGGGAAGGGCACAGCTCCCTGTTTTCCCCTCACCACTGTGAGACTCTTGCTGCTCCCAGCTCCCCAGAAAACTTTCACTATGTGAAGGTTTACGCTCTGTAAACATCCTCTGTCAGCCTCGACCCTGGGGTCAGAAGCTGTGGGAATGGGAAGGGGAGGAGGTGGCTGCAGCTCCAGCCATAGACTCCTAAGCCTGGAGCCTCTGAGGCTCCCACCGCCACCACCGTCTGAGCACAGGTATTGTCTCCTGGCTGGAGGTGATGCCAACAGAGTCCTCGGGCGTCTCCGGAGGTGGCTCCTCACGTTTTGACGGCCCCATTTTGCTTATGAGAAAACCGAGGCTCAGGTGTTATCCACAGCTAGTGGCAGGCACAGGCCAGACCCTGGGACTCCTGACTCCCTGACCAGAGCCGCCGCTGCTCTGCACGCCCCTGGGTGAGCTGAGCTTTCTCATCACTCACGGAGTAGCCGCTACCTGCCTGCTCTGTGCTGAGTCCCAGGCCTGCTCACTCTCCTCTTCCTTACGGCCCAGCCCAGTGGGGTATGCTGCCTCCGCCCACTCATTTGACGGATGGGGAAACTGAGGCTGGGGAGTTAGTGTGGAAGAGCCTCCTCCCGACTCGGAGGTCTGACTCGGAGCTGTCTGTCTCCTGCACCTCAGCTCAGCCTACACCCCAGCCCAGGCTCCCATGCCATGGTCGCTGCTCCAGCACCCAGCACTCAGCAGCAGGGGGTGGCCCCGCCTCACCTAGTGCAGCCACACCTTTGCTGAACATGGCTTTGCACCGACACACGCGTGCATGTCTCACGCACAGCCGTGTGTCTCGTGAGCACACGCACGGCCGCTTTGATGCACGTGTGCAGCCAGCGTCCCCCGCCAGGCCCTCCTGTGCGCCGCCGCACGCTGCTCACGGGCCGCACTGTGAGGCCCCAGCCCAGCCCCAGGACAGAGCGGGCTGTGTCTTCACCTGTCCACAGCCACAGGACCGATGAATCTGCGTGCACTAATGCCTGTGCAGTGTGGGGGCTCTGGGCTGGGGTGGAGGGGCCCTGGCTCAGCCCCTGTGGTAGCAGGCTGGCCGACCTGCTGGAACTTCACGGCCCTGGGTCGGCCCTCTGAGACTCTCTGTGCGTCTCCAGCGTGCCGCTGGGCACAGAGGGCAGAGCCACTCGTTCAGGGTCACGCCTGGGGAGTCAGTGGTGGAAATGCAGGACCCCAGAACTTGTGTCTCCGCATCAGGCTGTAGAGAGCTGTGCTGCTCCCCCCGGCCCACAGTGACAATGATGCACCAAGAACGTTGCCTTGCGCGGGGCAGGTCAGAGCATGACCCCCATTCTGCCTGCTGCTGGTTTTCAGTCCCTGTCCTGCTGTTTGGTCTTTGCAAGGGGGGCGAGTGGCAAGAGCACCCTGCCAGCCTTCATCCCCGAGCTGCCCTCCTCGCGCCTTTCCCTGCCCCTTCCACCCTTGGCTCTCTCCTTCCTTCTGAGTTCTCCTCTGGAGTCACTCCAGCAGGTTAGGTCCCCCGCTGCCTGCCCCCCCACACCTCTCCTCCATAGTACATTCCTTCCTTCCATTGAGGAAGCCCTGCTGAATGTCTGACTTCAATCCCTAT